TACCCAGGATCCCTACCCAGAGCCAACTCCCCAATCGTAAGCCAAGCCAGATCCTCCAGCAGTGTTCCAGAAGCATCTTTACCAGATGACAGGGGACATGCCCAACCTCAGGTTCGTCCCCAGACACTCCCGTTGAATGTCCAACCTCAAACCAGTCCAGCCAAAGACCACGTTCTGTCACAGCCTCAGATCAAACCCCCTGTGCAAACACAATCTCAGTTTAAGCCACCATTTAAGACTCCAGTGCCCTACCAGACTCCGTCTCCGCCTTCACAACGCCTTCCAGTTCCTCAGCCATCTACAATAGCCAACAACCCCAATGACCAAACCAAGGCCTCTTCTAGACCTTCCAGCTCAGTAAGTAGCGCAAACTCCAGTCTGGAACGAAGTCGACGTGAACCAGATGTGTTGCCCTTGCACCGTGTTGACTCCAGTGGCCCAGTGCTGCAGTCTTCCTCCTCCCAAAACTCCTCTCTGGGCTCCACCACACCAACCAAGGAAGACCAGTTGGACCAGCTTTATGCAGAGACTATCAACCGTCATGAGAACCGGCGCTACCTCCCTTTCCTGCCTGGCACAGGGCGTGACATTGATACGGGTTCAATTCCAGGTGTGGATGAGCTCATCAAGAAGTTTGACAGCAAAGAGACTCAACAACGTAGGGGTCGGTCAGGGCGGAGGAATCGACTTAACCCAGAAGACCGCAAGCGTTCCCGTAGTGTCGATAGCGCCTTGCCATTCGGTCTTGGGGGTGAATCTGACTACTTGGATGAAGTTAGTCGGAATCGAGGCAGGTCTACAGAGCATCTCCTTCGCCCATCACTGCTCCTGCAGAAGGCCGCTGGAGTAAAGACCTCCCCCATGTCGCCAACTTCCACTGTCGGACCCAGGATAAACCTAAGAAGCACAACACAAGTTAAAAGTGCTCCAGGCTCTCCTCAGGGCACAGTCTACAACTCTTCAGCTGCTATTTTAGGGTACAAGAATCCCCAGAGTCGTCCCTCTGTAGCACCTGTAGAGAATAAAAATGAAGAGGCCAAACCATCACAGGGTATGAAGTGCCTGTCAAGTGTGAAAATGGGATCAATTTCTCGTCCCGCTGTCAATGATAAAACATCAAGCACTGAAATGGATACTCAGGTAAGAATGAGGTCTTCCGCTTTGCTATTCTGACATATTCCCACCATTATGGGGTGACCAGTAATTTGTTTTATGCATGTATACATTATTTGCCCAGGTGACGCCTGATCTTCTGAAAGGTCAAGAAGAGCTTTCACAACAAACAAATGAAGAGACTGCCAAGCAGATATTATTCAGTTACTTCAAAGATGGGTGGGTGCACTTTTCATTGTTTTGTTAAACATAATATCAACAAATTCTAAATAGTTTTTTTTCCCAAAAACATTAAAGAAAAACATTAACTTAAAATATTTATTAATTGGTCATTGGCAAATGAGAGTCCATGATAAAGAAAGGGGAAAACCCTTTTAAAAATCTAAAATATAATATATGCATACCATATTCTAAAGAAGTTTCGATTTAATGCATGCATGTTTATAATAACTTTTAAAAACATTTCTTAATTATTATTATTATTATTATTGAGGGTTTTTTAGATTTTTAGGAGTGTTGTCATTTTATTGGAGTATTGACATTTTATTTATTTATCCTATTATTATTGGCCTTAACAAAGAGTCATGAAGGTCTGCAGGGCTCCTCTATAAGATTTCATTTCCTTTAATATTTTTTTTCTGCTACATGTTGGTTTCACCACTTGACTTTAATCTGGCACACTAAAGTTTTTGACAAATTAAAACCGCGACAATTGTGTCCTTATTGCTCTATGGTTGTTTCCTACTCGATAGTGTTCACTCTTTTTCTGAGAAGTGAGATTTTTCTTTGGAATTTAAGGTAGTTTCCACATAGTCTGACGCATAATGATAACACTACAAGAATTTTACCTCCCCTACATTGATTTGTGTACAGTAGAATCATCCACTCACAACTTGCACTCCCACACCTCTATCTCACCCTTTCAAGAAAAAAAAGCAGGTTCTTAATGTTCCTCCTCTTAACATCTTACATAAAAATGGCAAGTCATTTCAAAAAAGCTGCTTGTTAGATGTTCCAAACTGTTCTTTGCCTTACTGCCAACAACTCAAATCTGTTATTTTGCTTGGACTAAATGTCCACCCAAAACAGCACTGTTTCCTGCTCTCATCTAATCCTGCATGATCACTGCACAGCTTCAAACGCATGCTGTAGGTGACCGACGGCCCAACCTGCTCTAGTGAATAGCTGAACCCGTGCCCTCC